TATACAAAATGTGAGCCCTAGAAGAACAGTAGCTAGAGCTCTCCACTGCTAACTGAAAGATCTATGAATGGGACCTTCTAAGAATCCAAAACTTCACCAACAGGGTAAAAAGGGAAGCCACAGACTGGGGAAAAGTATTTGATAATGACATGTCAGATAAGGGACTTATATCTAGAATTTATAAAATACTTGAGCACCACAACAATACAAAGGTAAACAACCCAATTGAAATATGGACATAGGATATGAACAGACACTTCACCAAAAAAGACATTCAGATGGCCAACAAGCACATGAAAAAATGTTCAAAATCCCTAGCTCTAAGAGAGATGCAAATCAAAACAACTATGAGATATCATCTCACCCCAGTCAGAATAGCAAAATTTAACAGAACAGCAAGCAACAAATGCTGGCGAGGTTGTGGAGAAACTGGAGTGTAAAATGGTGCAACCACTGTGGGAGGCAGTATGGTGCTTTCTCAAAAAGTTTCAAATAGAAATACCATTTGACCCAGCAGTTCCACTACTGGGAATATACCCCAATGAAACCATAACTGCCACTCAAGCAGATTTATGCATACCCGCATACCCATGTTTATTGAGGCTTTGTTCACAATAGCAAAGAGCTGGAATCAACCTACGTGCCCATCAACAAAGGAATGGATAGAGAAGCTGTGGTGTATTCACACAATGGAATACTATGCTGCACTAAAAAACAAGAAACTCATGAAATATTATTCAAAATGGGCAACCCTGGAGGACATTGTGCTGAGTGAAATATCTTAGTCACAAGATGGGACTGACATCAGGGCTGAGGGAAGACTGAGAAAGATGAGATAAATGATGTATACTTCATTGAAACAGATGAGAGAGAGAACTATTTAAAAGGGATATATGATTAGGTTTTATTGTCATGACAGGAGTCCAGAATGAAGGCTGCATAGTGGAGTGGACATGGGGAGAGGGATTATAAAACAATGAAAGAATTTTTTCTTTTACTTTTCAAAGAGAAGAACGAACTGGAGAAGAGGAGTGGGCAAGGAGAAAAGTGCAACAATGAATGAATGAATGAAAATCCAAAATCTCTGTAAATTTTCATTAAAATTAATAATAAAAATAAAAACTTTTTAAAAAAATCTACAGTAGCCTTTCCGCGCTACCCGCACAAGGGTCCATACGGCATTGTTCTGGTTCCCGTCGTAACTTAAAAGGGAAACTTCCACAATGTCCGGAGCCCTTGAAGTCCTGCAGATGAAGGAGGAGATGTTCTCAAATTCCTTGCGCCTGGAACGCACTTGGGCGGCACAAACCTTGACTTCCAGAGGGACAGTACATCTACAAAAGGAAAAGTGATGGCATCTACATCATAAACCTGAAGAGGACCTGGGAGAAGCTGTTCTTGGCTGTTCGCGCCATTGTTGCCACTGAAAATGCAGCTGATGTCAGTGTCATATCCTCCAGAAATACAGGCCAGAGAGCTGTTCTGAAGTTTGCTGCTGCTGCTACTGGGGCCACTCCTATCACTGGGCGCTTCACTCCTAGAACCTTCACTAACCAGATCCAGGCAGCCTTCCAGGAGCCTCGTCTTCTAGTGGTTACTGATCCCAGGGCTGACCACCAGCCTCTGACAGAGCATCTTACGTTAACTTGCCCACCATTGCCCTGTGCAACACAGATTCTCCTCTGCACTACGTAGACATTGCTATCCCGTGCAACAACAAGAGAGCTCACTCTGTGGGTCTGATGTGGTGGATGCTGGCCCGGGAAGTCCTGCGCATGCGTGGTACAATCTCCCGGGAGCACCCGTGGGAGGTCATGCCAGATCTGTACTTCTACGGAGATCTGGAAGAGATTGAAAAGGGAGAACAGGCTGCTGCTGAAAAGGCTGTGACCAAGGAAGAGTTTCAGGGAGAATGGAAGGCCCCTGCTCCTGAATTCACTGCTACTCAGCCTGAAGTGTCAGACTGGTCCGAAGGCGTCCAGGTGCCCTCTGTGCCGATTCAGCAGTTCCCTACTGAAGACTGGAGTGCTCATCCTGCAACTGAAGACTGACTGGTCTGCAGCCCCCACTGCTCAGGCCACTGAGTGGGTGGGCACCAACAAGGAATAGTCTTAAACTGTCTTTCAAAAAATGGAATAAGGTTGACGGAAAATAAACAATGCATTTCATTTAAAAAAAAAAATCTACAGTTCCACACTGTCCTACAGGGACCAATAAGTCAGAATTAACTTAAAAGCAACAGATTTTATTTGGTATCATATACAAAGGAGACTTAGTGGTACAATGGTTAAATATTCAACAGCTAATTGAAAGGGTAATTATTCAAATCCACCCATAAACTTCTCAGGAGAAAGGAGTGGTGATCTGCTTCCATAAAGATTAAAACCACTGAACCATACCCACTGCCATCTTGGCAATTCTAATTCACAGCAATCCTAAAAGATAGAATAGAATTGTCCCATTAGGTACCCAAGACTATAAAACTTTAATAGAGCACACTGCTGCACCTTTTGCCCTTGAAATGGCTGTGTGTGTTTGAAGCATCCACCTGTTGTTTAGCTGTCCAATACTGAGCCTACAGTGCCACCAATAACACAATTACTTGCTATACATCAGACAGCTGGACAATGACTAGGGATAATAGGAGAGTTGATGCTTTTGTGCTGTGGTGCTGGAGAAGAGTATTGAATATACCATAGACTGCTAGAAGAACAAACAAGTTTGTCCTGGAGAGGGTGATGCCAGGCTGCTCCTTGGAGGCAAGAATTCTGAAGCTTCATCTGACAAACTTTCGACATGTTGCAAGGCAGGATCAGTCCTTGGAGAGGGATGCCATACTAGGGAGGGTGGAGGGACAGTGCACTAGAGGAAGACTTTCAATGAGATGGATTGATTCAGTCACTGGGATAATGGGGATAGGTTTGTCGGAGACAATAAGATTGGCAAGGGATAGAGCTGTAGTACATAGGGTCGCTATGAGTCGCAGGCAACTCGATGGCACATAACAACAACAATAATAATGATTATCCTCTAGAAACCATATGGGGCAGTTCTATATTGTAACATGGGGTCACTATGAGTCAAAATCAACTGGACAGCAAGAAGTAGTGACAATATCATCACACATGAATTAATAGAATTAACACAGGGGAAATAATTTAATTATTAATTATTCAGGATGATGAATCAAATTGTTTTCCATTTCTGAATATGTAAAGCTTTTTAAAAAATATGTCTTGATTAAAAGAGTCCTTTCAAATTATCTTTTCCCACCATTTGGTCATTTTGATTGAATTAGCAATCAGTTGTGGGCTGGAAGTCTGTTGTTTTTATCAATCAGGATGGGTGCAGGGAGACTTTCTGTTTAAAAGTTGGTCTCAGGGCCTATGGCACTCAGAAGAAGAATGATGTTACATTCATAACCAAGTAGTCAACTTTAAGTGCTGTCCTGAAATACAATGTTGTGAGTGATACAACATCATCCATTTGCATACAAGGAAGACCATTTACATGACTATTATTCAAATACACACTCCTCCTACATCTAGAGCCAAAGAGGAAGAAATTGAGAATTTTTACCAAATCTTGCAGTCCAAAATTGACTAAACAAGTAATCAAAATGTGTTAATGATCATTGGTGACAAACTGATGTCGTTGCTTTTCAGTAATACAGAGAGGTCCCTGACAGCCAACTTTCCCAATGCAACCAAAAAAACCCTTTTGAACCTCAAAGCCTGTTCCCTGTAAAACAGATATATAAGACTGAGTTGTTAAGAAACTTGTCCAAGGTCAAACAGCTACTAAATGGTAGAGCCTAGATTCATAAGCGTTCAAATCCTAACCTTAGTTCCCTAAATTCTACCTGCTCACTTACCTACCTTAGGGAAGATGGAAAGGAAATTCTTTGTGAAAGCACCTCTTTGAATTGCAAAATCATGTACAAATATATAGTACTGTTATTACTCACTACAATCTATCAGTACAAATAATTCATACAATGGGGTGGGGATTTGCTCTTTGGTATCTGAGAATCCTGAAAGAACAGTATATTAAACTTTCAGCTGTCTTTTATCTATTCTTGGAATTCTCAATTTCATTTGAACAAACCCAAACAGACAACATTAAAGTGTCGCTCAAAACCGATTTTTTGCCTAATCGCAGGCCAATGCGGTTCAATTCTGCTCTTTTCTTGGGAATGTGGACAAAATATTTTCCTATGGTAACTTCTCAGATGTACATTCACAGTTCACTTGGGTAACACGTAAAGGGATCACGTAAACATCCATACTTAGGAGGCTTATGTCAATGCTGTTCACATCACGCCTACATCAAATTCCAGTTTCAAACGCTAGCAGAGGCATCCATTCAGCCTAATTAAAGCAAATTTCTTTATTTCTTTTCTTGGGTATGGTATCAAATTTAGAGTTGATTTTCCACTACGCGAATATTGTTCATTAGTGCCAGGTGTTCTACTATGACTCTAAAACAACTCACCCTTGAAATAATAAACTTATTGTAAATACAAAAGGGCTTCTGATGTTGATATTGGAAATGGCAAGTGAGGGGGGAAAGTGGGCCTTGGTTTGTCAGTATCCGGAAGCCACTTTGGTCCTGCACTCACCCACACCTCGCTCATTCTGGGGAGATGCCAAGTGCTACCCAGTCGCCCCTGCGGAAGAAGCAGGAGAGTAAAGTCCAGCTGGGGGAGGGTGATTCCCGGTCTCCAACAGCAAACTTAGACGCATAAGGAAGAAAGGGCGCCCTTAGTTTCCTAAGGACCGAAAGTCCAGGAATAAGGATATGACTTTCTCCAGCCGTAGGATTCTCCCTCCTACCCCAAACAACCCAGTCACTTCTCCCCAGACAGTTCTGATAGACTCCACCTTGTCCAATTCCGGACTTGGAGAAGCACAGCCCGAGTTCTCCACGCCAGAAGTGAAGCAGGGCTGCGCGCCCGAGTAACGCAGAGAGGGAGCAGAGGAGCGCACCGGGCCCCTTACCTCCGACGGCGAGATCTCAAAGGCGCCTGCGATCTTGGTGTAGAGCTCCTGAATGCTGGAGAAATCCTCCACTCTGCCTGTGGGGCTGCCATGCGCCAGCTGCGTGTAGAAAACCAGCTTGCGTCTGGGAACTTGGTCCGGGAGGCTGCCTTCGCCGGCCCCAGGGGGCTGTCTCTCCACCAACGGGGTAACCTCCTTGGTTTTGGCTTTCTTCTTTCCCAGCAGCCCCAGGGGCATCTTGCCTGGTGAACGTGGTGGCCCACCTGTACTAAGGAGTGCCTCCTGTTCCTCCTCCTCCTCCTCCTCCTCCTGGCTAGCCGGACTTTGCGCTCCCGCCCTGGCGCCCCTGCGCAGGTGAAGACAACTGACCGCTGCCGGACCAATAGTAGAGGAGCTTCCGCCTCGCAGCGCAGGTCCGGGGTGGGGGGGCCCCTTGTTCCACTCAGAAGACCCAAGGAGCTACCTACATTCACTGCAGTAGATTCCAAAGGAGAGGGGAAAGGTGGGCACAGCCACACCTCCCTGCTTCTCCCTTCAATAAGAGTTTCATTTCCTCGGTATGACACACCTTAAAAACAACCTGGCCTTTCTACTGCTTTTCATAAACTCTCCAGGCAAATTTGTTCAAAGACCTTCTTGTCCATACATCTGGGAATAAGGAGTTAAGTAGAAGTCAGCCTTTATATGCTTTCTCTGCATCTTAAACTCCGTAAGATGAATTGGACGAGAAAGTACCATCATAGTCTTGGGGTTGGTGCCACGTTATAGGCAGTCAACACTTCTTACTAACCGGTCACTCTTCTTAGCTTTTTCTCCTGAACGTATATTACCGGCATCCATCCATCTTTCTAGAAATATCTCGACTGTAGGGGGGGGGGGGGGTGGAAATGAGACCATCAAGTGTGAATTTTAGATCCCTTAATTCCCAGCAAGGAGCCCTGGAGGCTAAATGGTATAACCACCTGGTTACTAACAGTTGGAGGCCAGGACTCACTTTGTGTGTGTGTGTGTGTGTGTGTGTGAGAGAGAGAGAGAGAGAAAATATGAATTTGTGAGTTTTAAAACTTGGTTTACGGTAGTTCATAAAGTTCGTTAAAACTCTTTTCTTGTGGTGGTGCCGTTGAATTGAGTACGACTCATAGCAACCCTCTGAATGGTCATTCTGAAACTGGCCCTATTCTGTGCCACCATGATTATCTCTGAGAGCCCATTAGTGAAGTCACAGTGTCAATCCATCTTGTTAGGGGTCTTTCTTGCCTTTGCTAAACCTCCATTTAGTGTGAAAACCCAATAGAGTTGCAAGGAGTAGGACTAGATGGCAATGAGTTCTTGTTGCATTTGGTTGTTCATTTGTTTTTAATCTTCTGGTTGGAAAACATAAGCTTAGCAATAGAAATGAGACTGGGAATAGAATTATCATTCTGCACAATGACTTATTCATATTAAATACCTTTTATAGGAAACAAATGCAGGCTATACACATGGATTTCCCCCGGTGGTATGCACAAGAAACAGATTTGAGAACTTGAACACTAATAAAAGAAGAACAGATGAGCTGTGGAAGGATACCAAGAATATCATCCACGAAGAATGCAAAAGGTTGTTACAAAGACAAAGGAAGAAGAAAAAACCAAAATGCATGTCAGAAGAAACTCAGAATATTACTAGAGCACCAAGAAGCCAAAACAAAAGGAAGAAATAAAAAAGTTAAGGAGCCAAATAGAAGATTTCAAAGGGCAACTTGGGAAGAATAAAACAAAGTATTATAATGAAATGTGCAAGGAGCTGGAGTTAAAATCAAAAAGGCCAAACTTGCTTGCTTCTTTTTTGTTTGTTTACTGAAATTTTAATGAAAGTTTATAAAGAATTTGGATTTCCATGCATTCATTGATGCACATTTTCCTCCCTGCCCCCCAAAAGTTATTTGTTTTTTAAAATTATTTCATTGTTATATAGTTCCCTCAAACCACCACCAC